GTGGGGGGGGGGGGGGGGGGGGGGGGGCGCCCCTGCATCATCTAGATGTACAAAAGTGACGCTGCACGCGCAAAAAAATGGAAGTCTGCTCGTGGAGTGGCAACAACCACCAGCCAAGGGCCGAAAGACTGCCACCACTGACGCGCTACAAGAACCCCTCACTAATCCGTTTTGCCGTCGCCATCGGCTTCTCCCCAGGACCCACGGAGGAAGATTTCTCTCCAACACAGGCCGCGAGGCGCGATTATCCTGGCGCAACCTTGGAGCGGACTGCGGGGACGACCCTGCCATCGGCATTTGAAGCCACAGCAACACTGGAACAAACTGCAAGAATCACATGGTTTTCCTGAGGCGCGGGAAAGGGAGCCTCGTTGCCAAAGGAGCAGCCGCCGCGCGAAACGCGCCCTTCCTCGCGCCCTTGGAACAGCCGCACGCAAAACACATTGCCAACCCAGACCGCAAGACACGATTCTCGTGGAGCAATGTTGGATAGATTGCGGAACAGCCGCTGGCATCGAAACTTCATGTCACAGTGACACCCGAGCATCCCAACGAAACTCGCATGAACGGTCTTGTCGGAGGAAGCCCTGGCTGCCAAAGGAGCTTGCGCCGAACGAGCGCGACCATCCTCAAGCCCCTACCACGACCGCATAAAAAATGCACACTCACCACCAGGCCGCAAAGCGCGATTATCCTCACACGGCAATTGGGTTTGGATTATTTTGATCTGGTCTCGATCTGTCCAAAGCCTCCAACGCGCCTCCGAGGATGAAACCCTCCAAGAAGCACAACCGCTGGTCCTGAGGACAAAAAAATAGCTTCAAAACCTCCACCCTGCGCGGTGGGACGTCCGCGCGCTGCGAGATCCTCCTCGCAGGGTGTTCGTCGGAGTCCTCCTACTATGTTGCGGCTCAAATACACAGAACCTGCATCGCGAATCGCTCCTGCTTTTCTGAACCACCTCATGCCTCCTCCTTTCCCCATACTTGCGTCGCAGCAGCTCAACTCGCCGTTGTTGATTCCGCACACGCGTGAGCCTCGCCGCAATGCGTCGGCGACGTCCGATCCACACCTGTGCTTCAAAGACGTTGCACAGTATCTTCGGGAAAGAAACCCACGAGCCAGCAGGTGAGGGGGACGCCCCTACGTATGTATACATGTTATATATATGCGTATATACATGCACACATATGTATACATATCCGTATATATAGATACACATATACTTGCGTTGCGGGGGGACGCCCCTGTATCATCTGGCTTATATCTGTACATGCCCGGCACACGCAAACACTAATTGAGATCTGCTCGTGGCCGCTGTGGCTGGCGCCTCATCATCATCCGCTGTCGCTGGCGCCGAATGAACACACCACGACCCAATTCTTGAGCCCAAAGACACGCTGTCGAATGGCACCGCGCAGTGCCACCTCTGTGCACGAATGCCTGCCCATGTTATGTACGCGTGTGTGTACAATATACGGTTGCATGTTCTGTATGTATACATATGTTTATGTGTATATATATACGATCATTAATTCATACAAACGTACAAAGTTGCTGAGGGTGGACCTGATGCGAGGCCGGAGCAAGCGGCGGCAATTTGGCGCGGCGACATGGGGGGGCAGCGCACAAGATAAAGGCCCCGCGCGAGATAGCGAGAGCCAGGTTGTTAATGCTGCACGACCCCCCCCCCACCCAAGGCCTTCCCAGATATCCCAAGGGGTCGGCGGTGTGGCGTAAGCCCATGAATCATATTGAGACTGTTCGCTCTTCTCTGCTCGCGAGCCACTTAACACGTATATCCCCAAACCTTCGATACCCGCCCTCGTCGTTTTCGATCGTACCCCCTTGAGGGCATATATGGTCGAGGGTTTGGGCCCCCCACCCAATGCTAATGCCATCGGCCCCCCCCCCCGCGCGATGGTCCCCCCCCCTGTGGGCGTGGGCGTGGCGTGGTGGCCCCCACACCCCCTGTGGGAGTGGTGTGGGGTCGGCGTCTTCGCCATCGTCGTCGTCCTCAGCCTTTGCCTCCGGAGAGTGGCGGCTACATGGGGAGAGGAAGAGGGAGGGGGGAGCAAGGTAGGGAAGAGAGGGCCAAAAACGAGGAGGGAGGGATGGAGAGGCGGATGGGGGGAGGAGGAAAAAGAACATCGTCGTCGCTGGTGTCTTCACCGTCGTCGCCTTCTGGGTGTGGCGTTGTGTCCCGGTGCTTTAGGGAGCCGGAGCAGACGATGTCTTCGTCGTCGTCGTCGTCGTCGCCGTCGCCGTCGCCGTCGCCGTCGCCGTTGCCGTCGCCGTCGCCGTCGCCGTCGCCGACGCCGCCGCCGCCGCCGTCTTCGTCCTCTTCCTCCTCCTCCTCCTCCTCCTCCTCCTCCTCCTCCTCCTCCTCCTCCTCCTCCTCCTCCCCCCCATCCCATCTGGGGGGGGGCCCGTGGGTCCGGAGCCCGCGATCATATATCTTTCTTACCCGCAACGTGTATTTCGTGCAGCCTGTAAGGCAGGGGAAGAGAGGACGGATGGAAGTCGCTGCTCACGATGGCGTTGCTGATGTCCGTCCGGCTGCTCTCATGGTCGTGCTGCTGGAGTCCGTCGTGCTGCTCACGATGGTGTTGCTGCGGTCCGTCGTACTGTTCAGTCGTGCTGTTGGATCCCGCTATGCTGTTCACAATGGTGTTGGCTGAGTCCTGTTGCCAAAGTCCGCTGCGATGCTCGCGATGGAGCTGCTGGGGCCCGTCGTGTTGCTCACGATGGTGTTGCTGGAGTCCGTCGTGCTACTCAAGATGGTGCCAGTGGAACCCGTCATGCTGCGGTCGTCATGATGGAGTCCGCCATGCTGCTCTCCAAGACTTGTCAGCATCTGGGCGGCGAACCAGTGCTCCCAACTGTGCTTGCGGGGATGCTGACGTCAGCGTTCCCATGTGCACGGGCCAGGGTGCTGACGACGGGGGTCCCTGCTGTGCTGGCAAAGATGCTGTGATCGCTGTTCCGCACTGCGCTGGTGAGGATGCTGGCGTCGGTGATCCGCACCGTGCTGGTCAGGATTCTGGGGTCGTTGATTCGCACTGTGGTGGTGAGGATGCTGGCGTCGGTGCTCCAGGCTGGGCTCGCGAGGGGGCTGGTGCTGGTCTTCGACCTACTGACACGGGTCAATCCAGACCCGGGTCAATCAGGCCTTGCAAGATCCTTCAGGATCCTGCACCCAAGCCCAGGCCAGTTCAAGCCTGGCTCTGCAGGATCCTGCAAGATCTAGCGCTCTGACTCACCCCTGTTTGCATTGGCCCCCGTCTCTTGAGCCCCGATAAAGGCGTCGGTAATCCGCGCCGGTGGACCACCCACGACGACCTACCACGGCCACCACCAGAGCCAGCCCTGCGGGCCGTGCCAGCGGCCGCCGCGGCCGCAGCTCTCGCTGCCGCCGCGCCAGCCGCCGCGGAGACGGCAAGAGCCGAGGCGACCGCAGCCGCGGCGCCAGCAGCCGACCCCGCAGCCGCCGCAACAGCAGCCTTGGCAGCCGGCCGAGCGGCCGCCGCGGCGGGCGAGGCACCAGCGGCGGCCGCCGAAGCAGGCGCCAGCAACCGAGCCGAGGGCAGCCGCGCCAGCACCCGCCCGAGCCGCCGCCCGAGCGGGCGATGGGGCCAGAGGACGCGGCGGGGCACGCGGCCGCCGGGCCGGCGGCTCCGGAGCGGGCCGAGGCGGCCGCCGCGGCAGCAGCAGCCGCCGGAGGCCAGCGGGACACCCCCGCAGCCAGACCAGGAGGGCCCTCGCCAGCGGCGGCCGCCGCGCGGCCGCCGCCCGGCGCTGGAGGCGCCGGACGGCCGTCCACGGCGGCCCGCCAGGAGGCCCCTCCCACAGCGTCCCTCAGGCCGAGGTCCAGGGAGGACTCCGCCCCGAAGGCCGCGCAGGCCAACCTCGAGCAAGAGCGGTTTGAGCTGGAGGGGCTACGGATTTCTCAAAACACGCAGCCCGCATGCAATAATAGGTCATCAATAGAGAATTGCATGACCTGTGCGTCCGTGCAGGTAGTATGATCACCTTATTTATAACTCTATACCCCCTCCTTCTCCCCTCTCCCCCCCTCTTCCCGCCCCCAACACCTCCGCTGCATGTCATGCGAAATGCACTGTGCTGTCAGTCCGCCCGCATGTACTTTCGCACAAGTGTTCGGATGGCTGACTGACTGACTGCAAACTCAAAGGAAAACAAAAACCCGACGGGCTCAATATACACAGTTCACGTATTAGTGTTCCACCTGAGGCTAAAGAATATGGTCCGACGTAGTCGGTAGACAGTCCCTTCCACAAAGGGTGCGAATGAAAAATATATGCCATCTCGACAACCCACCGCTTGTAGGAGCGAAGAAGGAAGATCGGAGGAGGGAACAGCAAGGAAGGGCTCTGGATGGCTCCCGAAGTCCCCGGACATCCCAGGAAGCCTCTGGAGGTCACCGCGGGCCTCCGCGGTGATACCTAGTGCACTCCAGAGGCCGCCCAACAGTTGAAACTGGAAGAAGAAAAACGCCACAAAAAATAAACAGTTGGCGCTCCGAACGGATTTCTCTTCGATCCGCGCTAGCCCCCCCCTTGGATCTGCGATGGACCCCCCTCCCTGGCGCGCGGAGCGCGCCAAGGGCGGCGCCAGAGGCGCCGCTGGGAGGGGGGGGGACCCAGCGCGGTTCCGAGAAATTCGCACGGAGCGTCGAAACATTATCTTTATGGCGATTGTTCTTCTTAGGGAAACGCCAGCAGAAAAACCTGAACCTTCGAACTTCGACTAGGTCTGGCATGTCCTCCTACAGGCGGATGCTGGCATAAGAACTACAACTAGTCAGAACAGATCCAAGAGTAGTCGAACAAATGATCGAAAAGTCGTCGCCAGACTATTTGCCTTACTATTCTTGAATACTCCTACTGTCGAGGGACATGCCCGCACTCAAACTTCGACGATGTGGACCTGGAGGCGCGGGCGGGACCAGAGGTGGGGGCGGCGGGGCGGGCGGCCGCCCGCTCAGCGCGCAGACCACGTCCAGGAAGCGCTGGGAGAAGAGGGCGGGGCTGCGCGGGAGCAGGTTGCGCACGAAGACGCCCTCCACCAGGTCGCGCACCGCGCTGGACGGGTCGCTGAGCAGGTGGAGGAGCCTGGCGAGGTTCCCCGCGCGCCCCCCCCTCCCCCCCTCCCCTCTTCAGGAGGAAGGGGAGGAGGAGGAGGAGGAGGAGGAGGAGGAGGAGGAGGAGGAGGAGGAGGAGGAGGAGGCTCTTGTCTTGGACGTAGATTGGGGTCAAGCGACAACTCCCGAGCAAGGTCGCACAGCGACGAGGGGGACCGACGAGGGCCCGAAGCCGAAACGCAGCGAGGGCCAGAGCAGACACGAGCGGCGGAGGGAGCGACCGAAGAGAACCGAGGCCCGAAAACCACGCAGGGATTGAGGAGGAGGGCGGAGGAATTCGCCGGCCCAACGGGCCAGAGGCGTGCTAAGATCTCCGGTGACTGCTTTACAATCTTTCTACTTCGCGCGCGCGGGGCGGCCCCTGGGGGCCCCCGGGCGGAAAGTACCCCGGCAAGGTCCCGAGAGAGTCCCGGGAGGAGTCACCAGGGCGCTCCAGCAGCGCACCAACGCGGCTCCGAGACGTCCCCGAGAGCCCCAAGAAGGGCCAAGAGGCTTCCAAGAGGCCCCCAAGATGCTACATGAGGGGTCCGAGATGCCACAAGATCGCTCCAAGACGCCCACGATGGCCCCCAGACGCCCCAAGAGGCCTCCAAGAGCACTCCCGAGAGGGCCCCAAGAGGCAAAATTCACTGCTTTTCCTTAGGTTTTGGAGAGATTTTGGCGTTTCCACCTTTTCGGCTTCACGACACCCCAAGACGGCCCAAGAGGCCCCCAAGACCGCCCCAAGAGGGCCCAAGAGGCCCCCAAGAGGGCCACAAGACGGCCCAAGAGGGCTCCAAGACGGCCCAAGAGGCCTCCAAGACGGCCCAAGAGGGCCCCAAGAACGCCCCAAGAGGGACCCCAGGGGGGGAACACGAAACAATATTTCGAGC